AAGTTGAATTAACTTGGATGAAAATGCATGATATAATTCGTTGACAACATCTTTATTTTTTTCATTCATCATAATCATTACATGCATTACATACATCTTGATAAGTTGCATAGAAAGTTTCTTTATGAGACATCAGGAAAAATCAATACATTTCTTTTTGGAAACAAGGATGATGGCCTTGAAGATGGTGTTAGTACATTCCCTAAAATCGAAACTGTTGATCTATAGGGTACCTAATCCCCTTTAACTCATTACTCAACTTATATAGTCCCCTGGCTAGCAGTTCAGTCCCAATTATTTTTAATATTTGGCTCGTGGTTTAATCCCAGTTATTTTTTTATTTTTTGACTTATGATTTAATCTCAGTCTCTTTTATCTCTCTAACTTGCGGTTTAGTCCCAGTCGTCATCAATATTTGGCTCGTAGCTTAATCTCGATCATTTTATTTTCTGACTCATGATTTAATCTTGATCTTTTTATTCTTCGATTTACGATTCAATCCCGATCTCTTTAATTCAAAGTTGCAGTTTAATCTCGATTGTTGTTATCCTCTGACTCGTGGTTCAATCCAGGTTTCCTTATTTTTTAACTTGTGATTCAATCCAAGTTAATGTCATTTTTTTATTTATGGTTTAGTCCCGATCTCTTTATTCTTCAATTCGTGATTCAATCCCGATCGTTTTAATTTAAAATCACAGTCTAATCTTGATTGTTGTTGTTAACCTCTAACTAGTGGTTTATTCCCGGTCTCCTCATTTTTTGACTTGTGATTCAATCCAAGTTAATGTCATTTTTTGATTCACGATTTAATCCTGGTCTCTTTATTCTCTGATTCACGGTTTAATCCCGATCTCTTTATTCTCTGATTCGCGGTTTAATCCTAATCCTTAGTATTTCTTTTACTTGTGGTTTAATCCCGCTCTCCTCATTTTTTATTGGTGATTTAATCCAAGTTCAATCCTGATCTTGTTATTCCTTGATTCATGATTTTGACTTACGTTGTTGTCCCGATTGATTTTTTACTTCTCGACTCACGGTGTTGTCCCGATCAATTCTTTACTTCTTGACTTGCATTTTAATCTCGGTCACTTTTACTTTTTGACTTGCGATTTAATCCCAGTCATTCTTATAGTTTCTCAACTCATGGTTTAATCCCAATCGCTTTTATTTCTCCAACTTACGGTTTAATCCCAGTCGTTTTTATTTCTATGACTTGCGACTCAGTCTCAGTTGTTATTAATCTTTGACTTCTGGTTTAATCCCGATTTATTCCTATGTTCCTAACTTACAATTTAATCCTAATCGCTTTTATTTAGTTAGTTTCGAACAAAATCGTTATCTTTATCTTTGCCCTATTACTGATTTTCAGTAATGTGCAAAGAGGGGTAGCTGTAAACACCTGATTTTGTCCGGGTCTACATTTTTAATAATAATTATTTTTTTAAATAATAATAATAATAATATTTGTTTAATTATAATTAAAAAATTATAATTAAAAAAAAAAGACAAACAAAAAATCCAAACAGAAGAAGAAACAAAATGCAAAGGGCTGGTGCCAGCGAGTGTTGTGCATGGCACCGCTGGCCACCCACACCCTGCCAAGCTACCCCAACCATCATACCACCCCCTCATCCAGTCCCTTCACTCCATCAGCACACGCTACCACCATTTTCAACCATATAACATACTCAATCTCTCTTCTTTCAGATCTGGCTAGAACTCTCGGATATCCCCTCACCAGAACACCAGAAACACGCACCCCTACCAAAAACCTCTCAGACAAAAAAAACCATCCCCCAAATACCCAAACAAAAAAACAAACAAATCTACGAAAATCAATACAAAAAAAATCACATAAAACAGAAACCATAGTCCTCGCTGAATCAACGAAGAACCCAGCTTCAAAGAGATACTTGTAACATAAAAAGAAAGGTTATTAGTTTGAGTTTTTTTTTTTTTTAAGAATAAAAAACTTTGAACCCTGATCTATATCGATCAGGGTCATTTTCGATGAAGAGGAGATCAGATCTGAAAAGATCGCGTCGAAAAGAGCTTCCAGGAGGATTTCAGAATTTTTGACCACTGGCGACTACCACCGGTCATGGCCCAAGCGGCAGCCGGTACGACAGTTCGACGATCAGATTTCGGTGGGGCCAAAGAGAACCCAAAGCTCTGAAAAAATTTTTTTGTGTGGAAATGGTGAAATGAGCTGAAAAAAATTAACTTTTATAGAAAACTTAAAAGCAAAACAACGTCGTTTTGAGCATAGGGCCAAAAGGGATGACGTTTCAAGCGTAAGAAGATCCGCGTGTGGACCGAACCCTACCCGAGATCCACGTAAACTGACCTGCCAACCCGCCTCAGCCAAACTCCAGTCGGTTCAAATGAACTGCCAATGAACCGGTTGAATCGACTCGAACCGCTGAATCGCCCGAACCGCTAATTAAACCATCAAATCGGTCAGACTGGTCCATACCAGCTTTGACCGAACCGTTGATCGATTCGGTTGAAGTAAAAAAAATTTTTTTTTTGAATTTTTGAATTTTTTTATATATTATTATTTTTGTTATTTTAAGATTTATATATATATATATATGCATGATAAGTTCTTAAATTTGTTAGGATAAAATTTTAATTGTTTTAATAATAATAAAAATGAAAATAATAGATAATAATTAAATATATATTAAAAATGCTTAAAAAGTAATAATAATAATAATAGAATAATTATTATTATTTTTTTGCCTAGATGTTGGAGGGAATAAAAAAAATATTTTCTTAAAAGTAATTTCGTTTAGATGTTGAAAAATTATTATTAATAAATCTTTAAATAATAATAATAATAATAATAATAATAAAATAAATATATGAGAAATTATTGATTAATTTTCAAAAATCGTTAAAATCGAACTTGCTTCGAAAATTCGCCTAGATGTTGGAGATTTTTAGAGATGTTCATATTTTTTTAAAAACGAAACCTTAAACACTAATTCTTAATTTTCAAAATCCTAGGTTTCTAAAACCCCTAAAATCCAAAATCCCTTAAAATCCAAAATCTTAAAATCCAAAATCCTTAAATCCAAACCCCCTAAAATCCAATATCCCTTAAATCCAAACCCCTTAAAATCCAAAATCTCTAAAATCCAAAACCTCCTAAAGTCTGAAATTCCAAACCTTTAAACTCTTAAATCCAAACCTTTAAAATCCAAACTCTTAAATCAAAACTCCAAATCTCAAATTTTAAAACCGAAACCCTTAAATCTTCAAACTCTAAAATCAAAACCCTAAACCTTCCATACCTTAAAACCAAACCCTAAAACCCTCAAAACTTAAATCCAAACCCTTAAAATCCGAATCTTCAAAATCTTGAAACCCTAACCTTGAAAACCTCTACCCAAGCCCTTACTCAAAACATCCTAAAAATTTTAAAGACACGTGTGAAAATTCCATTTGAAGCAATTTGTTCTTGAATGCCGCCTAGATGATTGGGTATGTAGGAAAATTTACTTCGTTAAGTCTTTTCACACGATTTCTTAATTCGTATTAATAATAAGATTAATAAATAAAAAGTATAATAGTAAATGGGGATCTTAAATATAAACAGTCGCACTTAAACTCTGCCTAAATGTTGGAGAGTCGGGGTGGTCTCATTATACTTAAGAATTCAACTTTTAAATTGTATTTCATTTTACATGACATTCATTAGCATACATACGTTAGCATGTTATCATCGATAATTGTCGGCATTATTCTCTCTTTAATTTACTGTTTGATGATAAAATATTTTACAATAAAAAAAAGAATAATGCGTTTTAAAAAAAATTGTGATACTACAAAATAAAATAAAAATAACATTCCGAAAGAAATAATTCTTGGTACTCTACCTAGATGTTGGAGAGTCATTATCAATTATTTTCTATAAAGATTGTTATTTCATTTTAAGGATTATCGTGTTAAATCTTGAGCGAAAAGAGTTATTTTAAATTCTGCCTAGATGTTGAAGAATTTTAAATAATTACTTTAAGATTTTCTCAATATTCCTAAATAAAAAGCTTTAACAAAATTGTATTTTTTCAAATGAAGGGAATTAGTATTAAATTTCAAATTGAAACCATTTTTATCCAACACAAAAAATAACGCATAATTAAATGATACCAATTTATGGGCGTTGTGGGGGTGTTAATCTTTTCCCGCAAGTAACCGACTCTCGGACCCAACTTGATTTTTGGTAGATCAAAATTTATCTTTTTGATAAACTTTAAACTTGCTTTTATAGTTTTATTAAAAAGATAAACTTTTGGGGTGACCAATCACATCTTAACAAAGATTGGTGGTGACTTCTCTTTTAATTTTTTCAATTTTAAAACACATTATGTCTGACGGTCCCAAAACCATTATGACAAAAACCACACCCCAGCAAATTCGAGTTGCAAAAAAAAAATGTAAAAGAAAAAAAAAAGCTACGAAAAGAACGAAGAAAATAAAAAAAAAAAAAAAAAGAAAAGGAAAATGAGGACTGTTTGATGGGCCAACTTGAAAGTCCACTTAACTTTGGGCCATATGACTTCCCGTTACAGGCCTCAATCCAAAGATTAAGTCTAGTATAATTTTTATATTTTTTAGCTTTTTTTACTCGTTTTTCTAATTTATATCAAAAATAATTTTTAAGAGGGCTGTACGCTTTTTTTTAAAAATATTTGTAGAAATAAAAACTGTGGATGATTATATTGTTAAAATGTTTTTCAAAATATTAAATTGTGATTATTATTTGATTAAAAAATAAAATAAAATAAATATTTTTAAATAAAATAATTCTTGAAATCTTATTTAAATGTTGAAAGCAACTCCAATTATTATTTTTACAAATGAATATTATAAGGATTATTTTAATATTTTCTAAATTTCCTATAGATGTAAGAGAATTTTAAAAAAAAATTCAATATTAAAAATATTTGTGTCATTCCAAAAATAAAATGCATTGATAGAGTACATCATTTGGACCTCTCATAATTTTCTATTTCAATTCAACCATACCGTCCCAAGTCTTAGTCTTGGATAAGATCCACTGAATATTGAATAGAATGATGTAAATGTTGCAAAAATATCTTTGCGAATCCAAGCAATTGCCAAAAAATTAGATGGGATCTCATTTATCATATTTTTCATGTCTTGCTTTTCTATGAAAATTACTGAAATTTCAACCTTTTCATGCACAACGCAGCCAAAATTACACCAAACGCAACAAAGAACTCCAACACCAAAAACGCCCAAGTCCTCTCTCATCCCAAACCATGGCTGCTAAATACTTAAATTCCCACTTGATTCTCGCTCTCATCGCTCTATTCTTGCTCCTTTCAATCCCTGAATCGCTCTCTGCTCTAGAGCCTGAGCCTGAGCCTGAGCCTGAGCCTGAGCCTGAGCCTAAGCCTGCCCCACCCACGGTCTGGGATATCCTTCCCAAATGGGGCCTCCCAGCTGGCCTGCTACCCAGCACAGTCACCAACTACAGCCTCCAAAACGACGGTAGATTCATCGTCGTTTTGGAGAGCCCTTGCTACGTTCAATTCGAGTACTTGGTCTACTACGAAAAGACCATCACCGGAAAACTGGGTTATGGCTCCATAACCGATTTGAAAGGCATTCAGGTGCAGCGCTTCTTCTTTTGGTTCGATGTGGATGAGATCAAGGTGGATTTGCCACCGTCCGATTCCATTTATTTCCAAGTGGGATTCATCAACAAGAAGCTCGATGTTGACCAGTTCAAGACCATTCATTCTTGCCGTGGTGGGGTTATGAGCTCTTGTGGGTATTCCTGGAAATCGGTCCTTCAGGTATTCCCTTTCTTTTTGGTTGAACGAAATCTGTCTGTGTTTCTTTATTTTACTGCCTTAATTTTATTTATCTGGCTTCATGTAGTTAGGCATGTTTCAACAAAATTTCTGGACTTGCTTGTTAAATTCTTTTCCTTTCTTATAGGAGTTAGTTGAAACGTGTTGTTGAGGTATTGGATTCCCTACATTTGATTTTTAATTCAAAAACAATCTGCTTTTCTGAAAATTTGGAAAACAAAAGCCTCTTAATTAGTATTTATCTTGTTTCAATTATAATATTTAGAGTAAAAGAAAAGATGGAAAACAAAAACCACATTTCTCCAAAAATAAGCTTGCCCTTGAAATTTTGTACAGTCACCTGCGGAGTGAACCCTAGGCTTAGGTCACTTGGTTGATATAGTCATTTAAGGGTGGCATCGAATAAGTCTGGGTTGAAATCCTAGCACTTGCAATTCTTTTATCTCAGGACTGCAGCCTTTGTAAAAAAGAAAAAAAAAGCATTAGGGTGGTTCCTATGTAGGAAGGGGACTAGGGCATTATTTCTAATCTTCACATCGTCCTCTTAAACCCCTTTTTATCATTGGTAATGCTATTTTGTTTGATTCAACTACTTCCAAATAGCATGGGCTAGTGAATAACAATTTTTACTAGCATTTATTTCTTGTGAGTAGTCGAATTGTTAGAAACTTTGGCATTTCTCTATCACTACTTTGGAGGAAAGTAAGGGAAACTTGAGATAGGCAAAGAATCAAGGTCTTATGTTTGTTTTTGAGGGATAAAAGGTTTTGATTAATTTGATATCTCTTGTGCTTTTAGACTAGAGCATGAATCAATGCTTGACTACCTACCTCGAGTTGCCAGACATAATGAAAATGTGCATGAGACATTCTAAAAGGCGGGTGAATTTGAAGCATTTTAGTTATTCAATTCCTTCCTCTAATTATCATGATTAGGTGTCAAATCTGATTGAATATTGGAGGCTTCTATAGATGGAAGAGCCATCACCTATGTCCAACTATTGTTGCACCATGCACGTAAGTTAAATTGCATGGTCATGCACTATCTAGTTTAGGATTCAAAATGCCTCTTCTACTTAGCTTCATGATAATCCCAAAAACATGTTTTACCCAAAGTTAACATTTGTTTATGGGGATATATTTTAATGGACATCATAGTCGACATCCTCATCCTAGTTTATCTTCTATATAATATCATTTCCCTATCAACATCTATGAATCAACTTGGCTGCTGATTTGAAGTCTTGGAACTTCTTTTAATTCTGAATGTTTATCTGTGTCATAAAATACATATTTGAGATAAATATGTTCCTAGATGCATGGAGATAAGATTAAAGATTTTTTTAGTGTATGAAAATGTTGACATGGCTTGAGCTTGTTTGTTGTTTTCTTAATTTGGTAGTACTGAAGAAAAATAATGGAATGGATGTAAAAAAAAGTGCTAAAACGGTAGTTCATCAAACAAACTTAATACACTAGAAATATTTATCTTTATATTCTTGATGCTCACTATCCTAGCAAAGAGGTGCCATGCTATCTAGCGTGTATCTGCTTTCCTTGATCTAGATTCAATTGATTCTCTATTTTGTAATTTGATTTAGAGAATTGTGTACATAGACTACTAATAGAAGGTTGTTCTTCAATTTAATCACAAATATAGGGAATCCAATGCCTCAACAAATCGTTCATTTTTCACAATAATCTTGCCTCTTATGTCATTGATTGTAGTCTCTTGGTCTCGGTCTCGGTCTCGGTCTCTCTCTCTCTTAATCTTTTGTCTTTAGAACAGTGTCTAACTTACTGGGTCTTGAATTGATTAATTTTGCTCTGTTTTCATGTCCAGTACTTTTTAGCTTAACTTTGTGTGTCACGGTTAGTTTCAAGTGAAATATCATGTGCAAACTACTCAGTTTAATGCTGATAAATCCATCAATACATGTTTTTTTTATACTCCAATATATTCTCCTAACAGTTTCCTTTTTGGACTTTGTTTTTATGATTTCTTTATTTCCGAGGCTTGAGATTTGAGTTTCCTTGTGGATTAGTTTCATCCCATCTTTGTTATCGCAGCTTCCAACGCCCACAAACGAAATTCAGATGCTAATTACAGAGTAGCTACCACTGAGCTCTATTGCTGTGTGAGAAATTGATAGAGTAAGCTTTTATCTATATATTGTGTCAAAAATATATTAAACAAAAAAAGGAAGAGAATCAAAAGGGAGCTAACTAATTAAGGGTAATGTTCCGACTCAAAAAATGACGGGTCTGGCAAAGGCTTATCTAAACGTGTTGTAAGTACTTGATGTATAAAATGGACTTGTATTTTCAGTTGTAGTTTTTTTTTTTTTTTAATATTTTCAGTCTTAATTTCTTATATTTGAATTTTAGACCTGGATAGCATCTCCTTAGAGTAGATAAATGAACCAAATGAGTTAAGCTCCTAGTTGTTAATGTTACTTTCTCTCTTTTAAACTTTACTTTTTAAGTATTAGAGCAATTTTACACTTCTGCCAGTGCTACATTACTGTTGCCTGAATCCTATGGCATATGATTGATGATTGCATATGTTCATAACGCACGAGTCTGAGAATTTGATCACTAGACACAAAAATAGAAATCATCACTAATTTTTTTTAATTATTTATGATTGATTAGTTAATTAATCTATCATTTTTAAAGATTTCCTATATTTGATTAAGGCTCCTAATAAGTTATAGTTTGCTAATTAGAATTATATTCAGAAGTTTGATTATGTGTGTGAAAAGTTTTAATACCCCTAGCCCATCCAAAGGATAATGGCAAATAATTTTAAATCATCCTAAAATGTCTTAGCTAGATGATCTTTTTGTTTATTTTACTTGTTTTAATTTATCCTTTTACGTATTGAAAAAATTTTAAGTTTTCACCATTCTATGGATTAAGTTTTCACCATTCTATGGAATATCTAAAAACTTTTCTCACCTCACAAATATTGAAGGTACCCATTTATTTTCTTGAAAAGGTGTTCTCGGATTGATTTTGTATCTTATGTAAAGGTTGATTTTTAGAATTCTTATTTTTATTTGAAAATAAATGTCAATTACTAATTTGGACATTTTAATCTAAAATTTTCACCATTTTAAAGAATTTAAAATAAGAATTTTTTACTTAGAAATTTCCTAAGAAATCAACCATTCTTATGTTTTTGAAATTTTGTAATTGAATAATTTTCATTTATTTTTAAAATTCTTAAAGTTATTATTATTATTATTCTTGTTGTTAGTTGAACCATTCAATTACTATTACGGAAATTTTATCTAAATTTTTCACCATCAGTAAATACGTGAGAGAAAACTTCTGGACTGGAAATTTTTTAAAAAATCATATATTCCTAACTTTTAGAATTTCATAATAAAATAATCTTCATTCATTTTCAAAAGTTCAAAGTTTTTATTTTATTTATTTATTTATCTTTCATTTGAAAATAAATGTAAATTAATTTTATTGAAATTTTCAACTAAACTTTCCACTATTTACGGACAATTAAAAAATTTTTCTCACTTAAAAATTTGTAAAAAAAAAAAACATTTTTGATTTCATAGAATTTTATCATTGGAATAAATTTCATTTATTTTTTAATCTTAAATTCTATTTTATTTTTATACCTTTATTATGAATTAAAAATACATGTTAATTAATATTATTAAAAATTTTAATCTAAATTGTTCATCATTCTAGATAATTTAATAAAAACTTCTCATTTAGAAATTTTTAAAAATAAATTATTTTTATTTTTTAAAATATTTTTAAAAGTTTTTTCTTTTTATTAAACATGTCCTTAATCTAAAATAATTTAAATATGAAAACAAAATAAAAAATAAGCAAAAAAAAAATAATAATAAAAGAACTTGGTCAATGCAAATCAATGATCCATGTTAAGTGTGTTTAAAATTGATTGAACTGGTTTAACTCAGTTAATCAATTGATCACCAAATTAATATAAATCAGATATAAAAAATGATTTTAAAGAATTTTTAATTTTCAAATCAAATTAATTGGATTAATCGAAATTTTAATTGAAATATAATAAAACTTATATATAAAACTAAAAAATATATGAAATTGTTCATTTTATTTTAAGATATTAAAATATTTAACTTAATATTTTAGTAATAAAATATTTTTAGTTTATTATTTAAAATATTAAATTAAATAAAAATATTAGCATTAAAGTAAATATGACACTCCAATCCCACATCAGAATATTTTGAGGATCTGTTATGATATATATGTTGAAGCTTAAACCTAAACTTGTGAGGGCCTTTTTATGGGCAAAATCATGAGACCTTTGAGTCAAAGCGAACAATAACTCGCAGGTTAAATGCGAGTTTTTACAAATGATATCAGAGCCTAGTTTTTCGATATTAGTTTTGCACAAACAATAATTTTAATGGTTTAGACACATTTGCGAATGATGAATGTGGTGTAGAAAACTTAAGTTTGAGACGTTTCTTTATTCTTACTTCTTTTGTTAGGCTTGCTTTTATTTTTGGTTGATGAAAATGCATTTTTGTAATATGTTTGCTATTGTGATTAAATCAATATGCTTTTTCGTTGCGATCGTGAACTTAATCTTGCTGAGATCGTAGCCAATGCTAAGGCTAGTGGCTCTAGGAGTTCTAATCTTGAAAGACACCATAGTTCACAGGGTTAAAACCAAGATCAAGGTGATACTATTGCGCCAAATGCCTAAGGAGGTGCTGGTAATAATCGACTTTTTGCTAATAAGATTTTAGGAGCACAAAATGCTATGGCTGGGTATGATGATAGGGTCTTGGGTTTGATTGATGAGATTATCAGTTTGGTAAGAGATTAACGGCAACACTAGCCATCGGTGCAACATGTTTATAATTCTACAGGGTGGAAAGCTTTATGTGAGTTTAAGAAGATAGTACCACATGCTTTTAAGGGTTTTACCAACCTTGATGATGTTAAGTTTTAGATCGAAGAATTGGAGAAAGCTTTTGATGCTATGCATACCGGAGAGCAAGATAAGATCAGATTTGTTGCCCACTTGTTGCAAGGTAGTGCAAATAATTGGTAAAAGGGTGTAGCTCACACACATAAGGGAGATCTTAAACTCTTAACTTGGAATAACTTTCAGACTGCTTTTTATACAAAGTATTTTTCTCAAAATAAGCTGCTGCAATTAGAAAGGGAGTTTCTTAATTTGATTCAGGGTAGCATGATTATGGATGATTATGAGGCTACGTTTAATCGATTGTAAAAGTTCGCTGCTTCTATTGTTGCTATGATATATAAGTAGAGGCTTAAACCTAAACATGTGAGGCACCTTTTGTGAGATAAAATCGTGAGACCTTCAAGTTGAAGCAGATAATATCTCGTAGGTTGGGTGCAGGTCTTTATAAATGGTATTAGAGTGATCACCAGTCGGATAAAAGCTAAGTGCTACACTGTGGGAGTCACCTCTAGAATCCTATAGGAGTTAAGTGCTACATAGTGAAAGTCACATTTAGAATCCCAACGTCTAATGTGGTCTTATGATTTGTGTGTGCTTTGTGTTGAGCTTGCCCAACATTTGGTGTGATTTAGTGGATCTGTGTGCTTTATGTTAGACTTGATGGAGACGTCAAGCTTTAACAATGGAAGTTTGTAACACCTTAATCCTACATCAGGATAATTTACAGTTCTGCTATGATATATATGTATAAGCTTAAACCCAAACTTGTGATACACCTTTTGTGGGATAAAATCATGGGATCTTCGGATCAAAGCAGACAATACCTCATAAGTTGGGTGTGGATCTCTATAAATGGTATCTGAGTGATCACCAATTGGATACAAATGATATCAGAGTGATCACTAATCGGATGGAAGCTAAGTGTTACATGGTGAGATCCACCTTTAGAATCTTGTAAAAGCTAAGTGCTTTACGGTGGGAGCCACCTCTAAAATCTCAATATCTGATGTGATCTTGTGACTTGTGTGTACTTTGTGTTGGCTTGCCCAATGTTTGGTATGATTCGATGGACCTGTATGCTTTGAATTAGGTTTGACAGGAACGTCAAGCTTTAACAGGAGGAGTTTGTGATACCTTAATCCTATATTAGGATATTCTGAGGATATGCTATGATAAATATGTTGAGGCTTAAACCCAAATTTGTGAGAGGCTTTTTGTAGGATAAAATTGTGAGACATTCGGATCAAAATGGACAATACCTCACAAGTTAGGTTTGGGTCTCCACAATAAATAAGCAATTAGATAATATATATAAAATATATATTTAGAATAAAAAATAAAAAAACATGTGAGGAAATTTATCTTAAGAAGACTTGAAGCACAAATATTTGGCATGTGTTCAAAACAAAAAGCAAAAGAACTAAAATCAAAATTGGGACAATGTGACATGAAGTAGTTGTTCATTAAAACAGGCACCGTTAGCCTTCCTTTAATCTTGCTTTGTGGAATGCTAGGGGTAGCCACTTTTGCAAATGCTTTTCAACACTTGAAATCTTATAAAGCCATATAATTTTAATTTTTAAACTTAAAACTTGTCACTGTCTCTACTAGTAATAGTTTTGTCCCAATTTCCAAGTACTCTATAATCTTTACTGCCAACTGAAGTTTTACTTCATGAAAAGAGTGTAATACTAGTAGAGTTTCTTTTTTTTTTATTAATTTTTCTTCTTAAAATTTTTATCAATAACAGAAATGTACTACAAGTTAAAAAAACTCTCAATAAAAAAATAATACAAAAACCAACAAATTAGAAATTATGATGTAACAAAAAGATAAGCAAGCTTGTAAACCTCATCCAAAAAGAAACATTATGCTCTCCCTGTCAATAATAGAATTGCCTATGAGGCCATGAACTTGACATAAATGACTCAATAATAAAATATTACAAACAAAACAATTGAATACCAATAAAAGGAGACAAAGGATTGAAAAGATTAAAAGAATAAGCTTCTCACAGTCATTTTAACAAACATTTGGTAGTCCCAATTAGCCACTATCCATATAAGTGATAACCAATACATAAAACAACCTAGATTCAAGTAAAATAGCAAAATAATCAACAAAACACAACATTTATTAGAAACCAAAAAGAGGAAAATCCATTGTAAGAATTAGGGATTTCTCTTTCTAAACTTAGTGTTGTGGGTCTATTCTTGTCTCGATTCATTTTTGTGTTTGGACCTAGTGTTTTACTTGTTGGGCTTATTATTTTACTTGGTTGTAAGGTCTATTTCTTATTAAGGCCTTTATTTACGTTTCTTTAAGTACTTTTTCATTAAATTGGTAATTGAGAATCTCAATTTGTTACTATCAACTAAGCACAAAATGGGCCAAAAGAGAATTATGGAGGCAATTGTTATGCAATGATACAACTTATTCTCTCTTTCAAAGTTTCTCTTTTCTTTTTTTTCTTTTTACTCTGTGACTCTTCTAAAAATTGCTTTAATTTCTTGACTTAAATTTTGACTTGCATCATTGGTATCAGAGCTTCGATCTTGGATATGGATGAAGGGATGAAGACTCCGCTACAAGAATTAAAAGAGCGTTTCAAATCTAGGTTGGAACAATTGCATGAAAATATTTGATTTGACCACAAAATTATTAGTTCTCAACTTAACAAAATATCTATTAGATTGGATGATATTAATGAAATGGTTAATGATCATATAGAGGAGGTCCAACAAGCAGAAAAGAACACTTCTATGATAGTCTCTAGTAATCTTCCTTTTTTTTTTAATACACTTTCACAAAACTCATGTCTTCCATGCCAATATTCCAAATGTTTCATGAATTCAAGGTAGATGCTAAACACATTAGATCTACCATTTTTGGTTCTTTGATGATTAAGAATGTTCAACCTTTGGTTGAATGGAATAGATTTATGTCTATTAGGGTGTTGTAGACACTTTATTTTATTCAAAGATTTTCTTATAATTTATTAGGTTAGGAACATTGAGCCGT